GATTTCCAGGGTGATGTGGAGGCTGTGAAGACGGTGGGCTATGCCAGGTCTTGGAAATGGAGTCAAATCTGTTGGCGGTGGGGGAAGTGCAGGGCTGGAGAGGTCATGAGGCAGCCAGGAATGGAGTCCCAGTGCCAGGGGAGGAGGCCCAACCTGGAGCCGCCTGAGGAGCACGAAAAACCAGGTCTGACAGCTGTGTGCAGCCCAAACACAGTCCAAGCGCCATCAAAGCAGGACGGGCTGAGTATGCCAGCCGGCCCAGGAGCAGGGACTCTTCCAGCCCAGGGCTTCTTGTGCAGGCACGTACAGGAAGGAAGATTTTAGCATGTAAGATTCTGTGCCCTGACACTTTCTCTCTCCTGACACCTTAGTCTTTGTCAGCTCCCTGGGGTAGGGGACACAGGAGCAGCAGGCAGTCAAGGTGTAAGTGCAGGCCTGTGTCGAAGCCCTGGAACTTTGCTTTCTGAGCTGAGATTCACTTGAATAAGAAATGAAACTCGAGGAGCTTGTTGAAGGGCACAGGGTAAGGTTTCATGTGGGGTTCATGTTGAAGAGCTGAGGGTGAGGAAGTTAGGTCGTTTTGGAAAGCACCAACATAGGGAGGGGGGAAATGCATTCTCTTTTGACAGGATGGATGCTAGAAACAGAATCCAGGGCCTTGCAATACTGAGCAAGAACTCTACCTCTGAGCTAGAGACCCAGTCCCAGAAAATGCATTCTTTTGTTTTGTTTTGTTTTGTTTTGTTTAACCTGTATGTGTGTGCACCTGCTTGTCTGTGTGTGCGCCATGTGCATGCCCTACCCACAGTGGACATAAGAGAGCATCAGATCCCCAGAACTGGCATTATAGATAGTTGTGAGCTGCCCTAGCAGGTGCTGGCAACTGAGCCTGCGTCCAATGCAAGAACAAGTGCTCATAACCTCAGAACCATCTCTCCAGTCCCCAGAAAATATATTTAAGGTGCAACAAATCACCTTTTAAATCTCTTTAAAACGGAGGGCAGCGGTTCCTTTCAATAAGGCACAGTGGTTTGCTGTGCTCTATGAAAGGCTTTTCCTCTCATCTTCTTAACTTTCAGTGGTCTCTTGAGGGACCAAAATATGGAAATTGTTTCCATTGGCATTTAGAGGGGAGCAATGGAGGAAAATTGATACATCATGAATGGGTTGGGCCACTCTTGTTACTATAACAAAAATGACTGAGGCTAGATACTTAAAAGAAAAAGAGGCTTATTTGTCGAACATCTTTGGAGACTGCAAATCCAAACAGCACAGCATATGCTCAGATGAGAACCCCTTTTCTGAGGAATAATCCTTCTGTATACTGTGAAAATGCGTTGCTCTTTGTTAATAAAAAGCTGATTGGCCAGTAGCTAGGTAGGCTCTTCAGGGCAGAGAGAATGCTGGGAAGAAAAAGGAAGGAGTCTGAGGAGTCTTGAGCCAGACACAGAAGAAGCAACATGGGAAGTTCCAAGATGAGGTAAATGAGTCTCAGAGCAGCACACAGATTAATAGAAATGGTTAATTTAAGTTGTAAGACCTGGCTGGAGACAAGCCTAAGCTATTGGCCAAGCATTTATAACTAATATTAAGTCTCTGTTTGGTTATTTGGGGGCGACTGCCGGGACACAGAAAAACTCTGCCTACATCCCTTGGCTACATCACCTCATGGGGAGATAGATGCAAAAGAGAGACAGTGCATGGGCACACAGGAAGCCAGAGCAAAGAAGAGGCCAGTCTGTGAACTACCTAAGCATCACCTTCTAAAGATCCCACCATGTCCCCATCACCCCACTAAGAACCAAGCTTCCAGCACATGGGCCCTTTGGGCAAACCACACCCAACCCAACACAAGCATTCGATGCAGATATGTTCCCAGCACCGAAAAGGGAGTAGTAAGACATACTTGGAACTGTAGTCTCACACCTTTTATTCTCTTGTTAGAGTACACATGCCCCCATTAGGCAGGAAAAACAGTCCCATGTCAATTTGTCAGGACCACTAGTTGTTTCGAGACATCTGAGAATGTTGATCCAAAAGACATGACTACTGGTGAGCCTCTGGGTGGGAAGGGAGCTTGGGCAGGGGTAGTAAACTGGGGCAGTGTCTTAGTCCAGGTTATTATTGCTGGGATAAAACCCCATGACCAAACGCAACATGAGAAGAAAGGGTTTATTTGGCTTATGCTCCCACATCACACTGTTCATCATCAAAGGAAGTCATGACAGGAACTCAAACAGGACAGGAACCTGGAGGCAGGAACTGAAAGGCCATGGAGGAGGGTTGCTTACTGGCTTGCTCTTCCAGGATTGCTCAGCCTGTTTTCTTATAGAACCCAGGACCACAAGCCCAGGGATGGAACAACCCACTATGGGCTGGGCCTGCCTCAATCAATCACTAGTTAGGAAAATGCCCTACAGGCTTGCCTTACCGCCCAATGTTATGGAGGCATTTTCTCAGTTTAGGCTCCCTCTTCTCCAGTGACTCTAGCTTATGTGAAGTTGACATAAAACTAGCCAGCACAGGTAGCTACCAATTCCCCTTTCAATCTTGGGCAGTGACTTCTAGTGGTTAGAAGCATGAGTTCTAGATCCAGATTACCTCCACCTGACTCCTAGAACTGCTACTTCTACCTCATGTGATTTTATCTGTCCTGAGGTTAGGTTGCATTTGTAGAAAATCCAACGCATCTGTGGCAATCTGAATGCAATGGTTCCCCCTAAGCTCATAGTGAGTGGCACTATTGGAAGGTATGGCCTTGTTGAAGTAGGTATAGTCTTGTTGGAAGAAGTGTGTCACTGTGGAAACAGGCTTTGAGGTCTCATATATGCTCAAGCCATGCCCAGTGAAACAGTTCACTTCCTATTGTCTGCAAGATGTGGAACTCTCAGCTCCTCCATTCCCATGTCTGCCTGCATGCCATTATGTCCCATCGTGGTGATAATGGACTGAACCTCCGAACTGTAAGCCATCCAACTAAATGTTTTCCTTTCTAAGAGTTGCCATGGTTGTGGTGTCTCTTCATAGCAATAGAAACCCTATCTGAGACAGCATCTCTCTGTGCTGGTGGGGACTTGCCTTGGGCCCTCCAGCTGGCCCTGCTACACTTGGATTCCTTCATCAGTGTGCCTGGAATAGCCATTCCACTCACCACCCTGGGGAGGGGGAATAATGTGGACAGCTATGACCTTTGTCCCATTCCCACAGCCATCAGCTCAGGCCTGTTATCCCAGCTGCCCCAGGTCAAGACTGGCATCATCCTCCATCAGTCCTGCGGCACTTGTGTGCTTTGTTCCTACCTGGTCAGGAGCTGTACTCCTGCTCCTTGGGGAGCTAGGAATCCCACCCTGGCTGTCCTGTTCCTGATTCCGTATCTGCCTCCCTGAACTTCCCATGGTACTCAGGTCATTACTATATTACTGAGCCACTCTCTTGCGTAACTTTACATTGGGACCAGGAAATTTACCTCAAACAACCTAGAAATGTGGACAGGACAAGGTGCGATTGTAGTGTTTGAAAATATTTCTGGATCTCCTTCTTGGTCAGGTCTTCTTTGGCCATTCTCTCTCCCTGTCTTCCTCTGGCCTGTTTCTAATACAAAGCATCAATTCACTATGCACCTCCGTCAGGCTATTCCTACACCCAACTCTGAACAGTGGAATGGGTTTCTCCTCCTCAATGACTATCAAACTAGAGAGTTTCTATTCAAACACATTTTCAATATATCCAGGTCTGAAGGTGGAAGGGCCATGCCAGCCTGAACTGATTTTTGGGTGCATGCACAGTACGGTAAAACTGTGCTCAAGTAACCTTTTAGGAGGAATCCCCTATTTACCATGTTATGTATATGCATAATTGGGCTTGCATACGATTAAAATCAGATGCATATGAAAAGGGTCATGCTCGGTTTATGTAACCCAAGCCTCAGCCAAAACAACGCCCTCACTATACTCCTTAGTAACTAAATTCTTCCTCTTGAACCCCATAAAAGGAAAACCCAGACAGTAATTGCGGCCCTTGGGTACCCTTATCCACTGGCACAGTCTTGACAGGTATCCCCTCTTACTGCACTGTTGCTTCATTTTGAAGTGGTCTTGCTACTTCTGCAAATCCATTCAGGATCCCAATTGTTCAAAAAAAGAAGCCAAGAGCCTGCTCACCAGTATTCGCCTCAGGGTCTATGCTGTCCCAACAGTGCCCTAGCAACTGAGGAACGCTTGCCGTCTTGCCTCTGGCTTGCTGTGCTGTGGACAAAAGCTGCTCTAACTTCTATTGCTGCCTGTTTTGTCTCATTTACTGAACATCTGGTTTTGACAAAGCGTGGTAGTAGCTGTTGACCTCTATAAATAAGCATATAGCTACTGTGGTGGATGTATGAGCAAAGATGGACAGGCACAATTCTAAAAGGTGAGGCCAGGATTCTGGCCCACAGTGCCTCTCTGTCTCTCTCTAGCTCTGGCTTCAGGATGGTTTTCATCTGTGGGTTTCCTCCTACCCAGTGTGAAAACCACTACCTGGAGGAGAGTCTGGCACTAGCCAGTCAGGGGGACCTGGAGGCTCAAGGATGCAGCAGCATCAAGATTTTATTGCTTGATTGTGGATAGGTTTGGGGAGGGGACAGTGGGAGCATCCCAAGCCATAACACACATGGGAAGGCTTGAGACAGGCATTGACTGCAGTGACAGGTGCTGCTCTGCTTAGGATGGGTCATGTCCTGATAAACAGCACGAGACGAAAACATCAAGTCCAAAACACATCTGATCCACCCAACCTACCCATTACCCTAGCTTAGGAACAGGGGACCCTTGAGTATCAGTGTTTCCCCTCATGGTCACTGGCTGAGTAGGAGCTGCAGCTCACTGCCCGGCCCATCGTGAGAGGAGATCTGAGCTGAAAGTATGGTTTGTACTGTGAACGCATATCACTTTCACGCCACGAGTCAGACTACACCCAGAATCATCGGCAGCAAAGAACTATTTCAGAAAGCTGACGAATTCTGGCCATATTAAGCATCAACTTTGACCATAGCCACGGCCTTCCATGGGTGATTTCTGCTGGCCACACCTTGGCAGGTTTCAGAGAGTGTTCCACCCTACCCCACCCCTACCTGTTAACATCTCATTCATCTTTCAAGGTCTCATTCAGATTATTCAGTCCTCATAGAGCACTCTGTGTTCAGGGCCATGAGGAAGCGCTCATTCTCTCAGTCTTCCGCATGCTCCCATGTCAGGTCATCTTATGTAGCTACGCCAAAGTACCCAAAAGAACAGCCCAAGGGAGGAACTGTTTATTTGGGCAAAGTCCATAGCGCTCAGGTCTACCGATGCTGGTCTGTGGAGAGGCACAACATCACTGTGTCGGGAGCGTTGGGCTGAAGCATTGGGCACGATGTCAAACAAGAAGCCACGAGAAAGTGATGGGAACTGGGAAAATACGTGGCCCCTAGTGACCCTACCCAGTCACCTACTTCCTTCAGCTGGACGCCCACCTCCCAAAGTCTCCATAAGTTCCCCCAAAGAGCACCACTAGCTGGAATCCACCAACGGGTGCGCCATTGGTTGGACATTTCCTATCCAAACCGCAACCCTCCCTTAGCTATCGTTGCTCTGTGTCGCAGTGGGGCTGGCCTACAGCCCCTCTCTCCAGTTCTCACCGTGAAGACTGAAGCTCCTGGAGAGGAAGGACAGCCGCGTTTCAGTGAGACTCAGCTGACATGGATGTAGAATGCACCTGTGCTTTTTATGCCTGCGGGAGAGCAAAGAGCTTGTTTGAATGGTCACGGATTGAATGGGAAATGCCCATCCCCCAGACTCAGGTATTTAAATACTTGGTCCCCAGTTGGTGGTACTGTTTGAAGAGGTCACAGGACCTTTCACAGGTGTGGCCTTCCTGGAGGAAGTGCACTGGAAGAGGTGGGCTTGGAGGGTTTATAGCCCCGCCCCACTTCCGGTTCACCCTCTCTGCTTCCTTTGTGTTGTTGGGAGGGGAGCTCTTGGCTTCCTGCTCTGACCATTAGCTGTCATGCCTTCCTCACCATTATGGGATCTCTCTCTCTCTCTCTCTCTCTCTCTCTCTCTCTCTCTCTCTCTCCCCCTCTCTTTCTATGTCTGTCTCTCTCTCTCACTAAAAGCCAAAATAAAGTCTTCCATAGATCACTTTTGGTCATGGTGTTTTCCCACAGCAATAAAATCACTAGTACACTTGTAAATCACTAGTACACTTGTAAATAACTAGTACACTTGTAAATCACTAGTACACTTGTAAATCACTAGTACACTTGTCAATATACAAGACAGTAAGACATTCCTCAATTCAGAGATGTTGAAATTGTTTTATTGTTATAATAATTTTTACATTATTTATTTCATTTTGAGACAAGGTCTCACTATGTAGCTAGCTCAGTGTCTTTAATTCACAGTCCCACTGCCAGAGCTTCCCGCGTGCTGAGAATATAGACCTGTGCTACCACAGGCAGCTTAAAAGCAAAAAACTGCTCTTCAGAATGAGTGACATGTGGCGCTCTCTTAGCCTTCCTATGCACCTTGCTTTAGGAAAGACTCTAGTGCAGAGGTCCAGAGAAGGAGGTAGACAGGGTGATGATAAGGCCAGGGACCAAAGACCAGGGAGGGAGTTTAAGGTGAGGTCAGATGTGCTGCCCTCTACTTCCTTGGGATTTGGGGAAAGAAGTCTGAAGCTACAAAGTTACCATTTAACTCCAAATGGCCTGTGTGCCATCAAAAGTTGAGTGCCTTCTCTGAGAGTTCCCAAATGAAATGATGAGATAATGCTTACTTCCATTTACCAACTTTGAGCAACATTCGGAGCAGTGGACCGCAAGAATATATTATAGAGATTCAGCTGTATATTAAAGCTATACCTAGAAAAGTCAAGGAATTTTTCTAGAGGGAAGCCATTATCATGGAATATTTAGTGTTATCTAGCTTTTAATATATATATCAGCTGTCTTTTGCTATGACATTCTTGTGTGCTCATATACTACTAGGCCACATGGCAAACAGCATAAACAGCTCAGACCTACTGCTGATCTACTAGGTAACACCCCTAGAGAGCCTAGGAGAGACAGGTGGACTGTAGATGCATAGCTTTGTTTCCTGCGCAAATGAAGTTCAGACCATCCCCTTCCTTCAGGCCTAGTAGCATTACAAAGCAACTGACTCAGGACAATGGGGCTTTTTGCATAACCAGGTGCAGTAAAGACTGGAGCAGAACTCCTGGCCCAGGCAGAGTCACATGGCCGGAGAAGGAGGAACAAGGCAGATCTCTTGTAGAATATGGCTCAGGCCGAGGAGTGCGGAGCAAGGAAAAGTTTCCTGTAGATTGTAGGTGAATCATGTCAGGAGAGGAGAAGAGAGAGGAAAGATGGGGGACGAAGGAACTGAAGACAGAGATTGAAAGCACAGGGGCTTAGTTAGGACTATGACAGGGCAGTAGATACAGAGAGGAGCTGAATGTGAGGACGGAACTGAAGCTGTATAGATAGAATTTTGTCTTAGAGGAATAAAGTAAACACACACAAAAAAAAGCATGGTGTGCATACATTCTTTTCCCTCAGATAACCCCACATGGGACATAGTGTCTTCCCCAGGACCCTGGAAAGGATTTTCTCAGGGCAGGCCCATGGGAAAATTCTGTTAATTCGGGAGTTTTTGCTGTTGTTGCTTTACAGATTTATGTATCTTCTCTAAAATGGAAACTACAGAATCACTGGATGTTTTCATTTTCAAAGGATGGGAGAGGCCACACTCACCGCTCATGGGACCTTAGACCTGCAGCTTTCTGCATCTCGTAACCAAAGAAACAAGGCCATAGAAAACTAATCAAAGGCTCTTGGTCCACAGTGAAGACCTTTTTGTGATGGCAAAATAGAAGAGCAAATGTCCAAGGGCTTAGAAAGCCACCGAGGCAGAGAACTATGGGCAGTGGCAGAACAGACCTGCCAGGGCTTGTCATCCTGTTTCACTGTGTGGTCTTGGAAGACAGTGTCCTTGAGCTAAAGACAGGAACTTTGTGTTGTTCTAACTTTGGAAATGTTGAGAATCTAACTCATTAAGTTTCTAGTTTCCAGAAACCCAAACAAACTCTTTGAGGTCCTGGAGCACATGAACGGCATACAAAGCAGCCAGGTATGTTCCCATAGTTCTTCAATGTGAGTGTCCATACCGTAAATAAGCCAGGCTCTAGAGGGCTTTTCAAAAATGGTCCCCATCTCTCTGCTCTCAGCAGAAAATTGTTGCCAGTTCTCTCCCTCCCCAAATCAGAATGGCCCTGTTTACATTGATGCACTTGCTCTGATGGCAAATACATCATTGTTGCACTCTGTTTCCCATTTTAAACTGCACAATAAAACTCTCTGGGAAAATGATAGAAGCTTCCAGTGTCTAGTACGATATTATTAAGCATTGGTACCATATTAGACTCTTTAATGTCTAATTTTTAAAAGTTAATCTGGTATCTTTAACAAGCAATATCAGACTTAAATTATAAGAAGACTTGTGGCTGTAGAGAATGGCTTAATCTGTGGTTATTTGGAACAGTGGTTCTCGGAAGCCCACTTGGACTTCCTGCTCAAAGGTAGTCTACTGTGCCTCCTCCCCAGAGCTGCTGACCTAGGGAGGTGGTTGGGACAGTGTCATTTGCATCTCTAAAAACTTCCCCAGATGATGCTGAAACTACTGGTCCTGGAAACCCACTTGAGAATCACTCATTAAAATAGCTATTGGGAGAGTCAGTGAAGTCAAACCCTGGAAGCTTCCTCTCCCTTTTTCCCTCTCCTTGAGACAGGCTGAAGGGAGGGGTCTTGAAGAGACTGAGTTCAGGGGATGGAGCATGGAGCAGGCTGACTGGGTGCATCTGTAAAACCTTCGTCAGGGATCCTTCCTGTATTAGACATGTTTTGTTGCTGTAGTTAAAAGACACCATGACAAAAGCTACTTTCGGACGAGTTTATTCTGGCTTACAGTTCCAGAGGGAGATTCCATAGTTTATTCTAGCTTACAGTTCCAGAGGGAGAGTCCATAATGCCGAAGAAGGCATAGAGTCAGGTAGCCAGAAGAAGCAGCTGAGATCACATCTCCAACCAGCAGAAAGCAGGGAGAGTGAATTAAAGTGGGGTGGGCTGTAAACCTTGACAGCCCCCCCCCCC